CAGATGGACGTGTTGTGAGGCGAATTGTAAGCGGGTAGAAAGATGCGCTCGGAAATATATGAGCTCTCCCGTCCTGTGTGCACTTTCATCGGACAATTTGGGTCCGCAGAAGTGTGCCCCATCCGGGAAAAACTTTCGCGGTGTTCTTGTGCACAGGTCAGGAAACATCGATTTTACGATTTCGATGATAGAAAAAAAATGTACCCTAACGCTGCTTCTTGATCCGTATTGCAAGAAGAAAGATGTTGAGAGAGAACGAAATAGAAAATAGTCGTTTGTTAGAGGAAGAGGTCCGCTCGTCCGCCAATAGTTCACCATATCTAGAAGAGTAAAAGTAATTTTTCCATGCCCGCAAAGTGAATGTTATGCCCGAGCGCGAACCGGAGTGAATCTTCTCATATAGTATTATAAACGAAACAGAGCCGAGGAATCGACGTGGGGGAAATCTGGCGGGTATTTAAGCCGACGAGGCTCATCAGTTGGTATCAGTTTTATCTTAGTGCTTAGTGTTGAGACATTTATAACAAATACATCAGTTATGAAGCCATTTGTGGTACGTATACAACAGCACACTACAAAACAACCAACAGCAAACAGCAAAGTTCTTGCTCAAAAAAAAAACATTCTGAAACAAACTTCAGAATTAACATCGATCTTCAAATCTTCTACATTTCCAAGAGCAAAGGCAACTTTGTTTCTTTCAGCCAATTTGATTCACAATAAATTACCCAAATTTGTTACAATTAACATTATTTTGATTACACCAACAACAAAGTAGTCATTGATTTTCCAGTTAAAAATTATGTAATCATCACATTAATATTTGTTTGTTTAAATAGAAAAAAATCACCTTAAAAACGCAAAAGCAATAGTCTCAATAATGTTTTCGATTCATTCAGAGTTTTAGATCAAAAAATTACAGAGTTGAAAATCATCAGATTAGCGACTGAAAAAGCGGCAACGAGGAAGTGACATTTTACGCAGTCACGAAATTGCCGGTTTCCTCTCGATCGGTCATAGACCATCATCATCATCAGCATCTAAACTTTCTCGCGGCTTCTGTTTATTTTTTTTGTATCTAAAAGATATTTATTTACTTTTTATTTCCAATCGCGTTTTCTTCTTTCATTTCATCGGACCCAAATTGATATTTCGCTCGTGCAGTTTAGAGATTTGCGACGAGGATGACACAAAGAACGTTTGATGCCGAAGAAAGAAAGTAGAAATTTTCGCAACAGAATCGTGCCAATTCGCATATGTGCATATTTCTTTCTGTTGTTGCTGTTGTGTGCTAAATGAAAATAGATACATGCAATTTCACTGTTGCACTCCTTATAATACACTGAAAGTGGGATTCAATCATGATACTGATACTGATACTTAACTGCTTCTAATTGTGATGATTTGATTGTGTGTTTCAGGTGCTTTGCTGCGCCTTGGCTCTGGCATCAGGCCGTCCCGAGGCCGGCTACAGCTACAGTCCACCCTCTAGCTCCTACGGGGCGCCTTCTGGAGGAGGCGGTGGAGGTCACGGTGGTGGCGGCGGACTCGGCGGTGGCGGAGGATTCGGCGGAGGTGGATTCGGCGGCGGCGGATTCGGCGGTAGCGGTGGAGGCGGATTCGGCGGCGGATTAGGTGGAGGCGGTGGATTCGGCGGCGGATTAGGAGGCGGCGGTGGATTTGGAGGTACGAAGAACAATCCAAACAGCGAATTCATTCTTGCAGAAACCGACTGAAAGAGCTGTTGTTGAAGGATGAGAAGTCGATGGGATTTAATGGTGTTTTATTTACAGGAGGCGGTGGATTCGGCGGAGGCGGCGGCGGTGGTTTCGGAGGCGGAGGCGGTGGATTCGGCGGCGGAGGCGGCGGCGGAGGAGGCGGCGGTGGAGGAGGAGGATTCGGCGGAGGCGGCACCATCCAGAAGCACATCTACGTGCACGTTCCGCCACCAGAGCCAGAAGAATTCAGGCCACAAAGACCGATCTCCGTAGCCGCTCCACAGAAACACTACAAGATCATCTTCATTAAGGCACCGTCCGGCCCGAACCCAACTGCTCCGATCATCCCAGTGCAACCGCAGAACGAGGAGAAGACTTTGGTCTACGTTTTGGTCAAGAGGCCAGAAGATGCACCGGAAATCAACATTCCGCAACCGGCACCCACACAACCCAGCAAACCGGAAGTCTACTTCATCAGATACAGGACCCAAGTACGATGATCACAACAACAACAACAACAACAATTCAAGAACACTCTAATTTGCAATTTACAATGTTACAGGGCGGAGGAGGAGGCGGCGGCGGTGGAGGAGGCGGTGGCGCTGGAGGTGGCGGCGGAATCGGCGGAGGCGGTG